GTTCTACTGGTTTTTCGCTCTCGCATGATCGTTGCCCTCGCCATTATCCTCTTACCTTATGACTCACACAGACGCCGACACATGCACATTCAGGCTGCTGTTGATTAGCCAGCACTCTCCCATGACCCTTTGCTCATGGCTCACTATGAGGGGTTGTGGGTAACAGGCTAGCACAGCAGGGCTCTAATTTAATGAGGCAGATGGTTGTCTATGTGTGTGCAGAATAACTGCATTAGTGTGTGTTGAGGGTTGTAGGAGGATCCACAGCAGGGGTTTCTCTCAATAAATGTTGCCATGTTAAATCAGTAATTGGTCCTTGACACAACTCACTGTAATATGTATTACAGTGAGAGTGCAGAAATCAGATATTCACGAATTCTTTTAAGTTCCAGACAGTAGAGACATTATAGAGGTGGAGCTTTGCTATTAGAACAATGTCATGTGTCACAATGATGTTGATCCTAGAAAAAAATAGCTCTGGAAAAAAAATTTGGCTTAAGATTGTCACACAGGATATATCAACAGATTATATTAGTTGTTAACCTTTCTGTTTTTAAAGCAGCTACCTGTATTTTGTGATGAAGGTGTTGTTCAGCCTAAGGAGCTTGGAAAGAAAATCGTCTGAACTTCTGTAAGTTTTCTTGAAGACGTTTCATCCCAGAAGGTTCTTCAGTTCTAAGAGCAATTGGCTGCGAGTCCCAGATTTAAGCCCTATGGGAGTGTCCGAAAGAGGGACATGGACCCCCTATTGATCCTCTAACTCACTAAATATATGAAGTGTTAAATGTGATATGTAGTCTGAAGCAGTGATGTGGTGGCTGTAGCTCAGAAGGTAGAACAATCTGCCAGTTAGCGGTTTAGTCTTTACCTGGTCCTGTGTGAGAGTTAAAGTGTCCTTGGACATACTGAAGCTCAAAGTTGTTGTTTGTTGGTGAGCTTGACAGACACAAAGTGCTGTTTAAGTTTGAATAAATGTGGCTTGTAAAAACAAGTGCTCTGAATGTGCAATGAGACTAGAAGTGAAATAAATAATGAAAAAGATGCTAATGATACAATTGTTATACATTGTTGTATTTACATTTTTGTGTCATAACAAATTATCCAATCAAGCTATTTAGGAGAAAACACAAACATCAAGATAAGCTGTGGATGTCAAAGTGCTTAGAAAACACAGGCAAAGACTGTTTTTACAAGGTACAACGATTTAGAGGCAGCTTAATCACAAAGTGTGATAGTGTTTTATGTGTGTCTAGATTATGAACACTAATCTGTAAATTATTAACTAGTGTTAAAAAGAGTAGATGAATTCGTCGTTCTCCATTTGGAGCATGTAGATAGAGTTATTGATGGGAACTTAATGTTTGTTTGTGTGTTTTATAACTTCTGCTTTCTTTTTTATTTTTAAATGTATTTTGTTTTTCATTTTATTTATATTTGTTCAAAATAAAGCTGTCAATCAAAAATGTGAAGTGTTTTATAAATAGCACTCCATGTTCATGTGCATCATACTTATTGGAGATGAAAAGATAACTGCGATAGTGTAAAAATAGTTTATGTGCCTGGCTGAGTGTGGGTTTCCTTTCAGACAGACATCTGATTATCTCTGGGCTTGATGATAGAAAAAGTATTTTGATCTGGATCAAATTAATCCCGCACTACAGATTTCCTCAGATACATAACAAATTTACAACTTTTTTATGTCTATAATTAAATCTAGAAGTCATCTTTACAGACTTTTGTTGAATTGAAAAACTGTTGCCTGTGTACTAGGATGTTTTGAATTGTTTGGCAAGTCCAGCACAATGAGATGGCCAACAAGACAACGGTTATAGGTAAAGGAACCCTGAGACAGATGGAATAAAACAAAAAACTATCTGTATTAAAAAAATGAGGAAGAAAACACAAAATCCAAATAACAAAATATTTCACAAGGGGAGAAAAAATAGCTTCAGCTAATAAATGCAAGGCACTGGGGGTAAATAAACTACCAAAATAAAACAGGAGCTTTAACCATTAACAGGGAAAGGCATAAAATTATATAACAGAGGGGGAAAGACGCAGGAGGACTAAACCCTCTGAAACAAACAGAAACTGGAACAATGAAATAAAAGATGAAAATACAGGGC